GCCAATGGCTTCCAGGTACAATGGCGACGAGAACAAGGGACAGCTGAAATTATCCTGCAAATCATCTACATATATGATCTTGGATCAACGCTCAAGTACGATGTCGGCGATTTACGTGAATTATTGCTTGCCATCCAACAACATCATCATCATCACATACCAGCTTACAATGAGGAGCAACAAGATTTTAGTATGATACGGCCCAAGAAGGTGATTACATATCTACATCGAGTTGCAGCGCTTCCTCAAGCACCTGAACGGCGAGCAAGTGACCTTGAAGTTGTCAAGCATCTTTTCAGCAATACACATGGACGTTTGATTTGGAGAAAGGAGAAGGATGCCAATTGTGAATATCAAGTTGTGTACGAACGTATCGAGGATGATCAAGCTGTAGATGATGCCGAGGAAAAGCCATCAGCACCAATTGCATACATAGCTTATCACATGTTTCCATCCGATTGAATAGTCCACACACTAGCAGCAGATAGCTTTCAATAAAAGAAAACAATTGTATTCGTTTATTCTGCCTTCAAGCTACGTATTGCTTAAATTGAGAACGGAGTTGGATCCTAGAGGGTGTGCACTCTGCTGTAATAGGCCAATGCTGTGTTTCCAAGATACTGTTGTTGTGTGTTCACTTCGGCTATAGTATGCATTAAAGGCCATGATAAGGATATAATAACATAACAGCCATTTCATCCCACTTTCGACTTTGGTTCATTCCAATGCATACGAACGATTCTCCTGCTCCAGCCCATCATTTCCATCCTTCAACTTTCTTGATCCGAGGGGATTTGGTTGAGTTACGCTCAAACACAAAACATCATCCAATTTCACAAAAATCATTTTGCAAAGTTATTTGTAAACTGCCAGCCAATAACCCAATCCTCCCATTCACCATTGTTGTCCAATACAATGCATATGAACGATGTCCTGCTCCAGCTCATTATCTCCATCATTCAACTTTCTTGATTCGAGCTAACCTTGGGAGTAAGGTATCACTGAACGCAACCGACAAATCCTGCTAGTAATGGCTGTTGTTGGATCATCATTATCATGTAAAATGTAAAATGGCACACACCCTCGTGCTATACGTGAGGATCATCATTTCTTTTATTTACGTGCACCTATTGTCTATCGTGAGGTTGATGATCATGATGGGTGGATGGTGTGTGTGGGGTCATTGAGTGGCCTCAGTGCAATAGCAGTAGGGGGGATTTAAACTTGGGGGACAGCAGCTCCACGACTTGAGACAACGCTTCTCTTCTCTTTCTCCCTTGTCTACTTTTATTCCAAACACCACATCCCGATCAAGGTAATGTATTATAAAAGAGTGCTCTTGTTGGTTGTGACGTATTAATGTAGTTCTGAACATGCATTGTCAGGGAGAGTGAGTGTGTCCAAGTGCTGAGGAACGAGCGTGGTTGGTGGTTGGTCGTTGTCATGGCGATATTGTTGCTTCCTTTGCTCGTTGCTATTCCCGCTCTACGCTTGGTGTCAACAGGTACATTCAGAGTCCAATGTTGCAGCCGAACTGGTTCCATTGACGTGTTAGCTTATATAGGGGACAAGTTTGGTCTCAAGACGTTGGCTGGTTTGGCTTTTTGTTTCAGCTCAACAACACTACACCATGGTTTTCGGTTTCCAGTAACCAACAACAACGGGTCTTTGTGTATATGGAAAAGGCAAATACAATGAAACAAACAATGAAAAGGGTGTTTATTGTGTGTGTGCTAATGATGAATTGAATAGGTTTCTTTGGTCAGGCAATGCAACTTGGGCATCATCATCTCTTTGGGTTCGACTCCCAGCCTGTATCAAGTGGTCGATGACGATGGATTTTTGGAAGAGCATGGTCACCGTGTTGAGGTAAAAGGGGATTTGCAACAGCTTGTGAATGTGTTGAACCAATACGCTCTTCTCGCGATAGGCTCGTTCTTTCCCTTGAGGATTTCTTTTCATGAGGCGGGAAATGATTGGAAGGATTGGGGATCATTCTTTCTTTGGAGAGGATGAATGAGGACAGCTATGAGCCTGGACTCTACGTAAGTGATGTCCTTCCTTGCCATGGATCGAACTGGCCTTGCGTGATTCGTGCAGTGCCTTCTCAAGAACAAGGGATCGTCCAACGTTGCTCGTATGGTGGTGATTTGGTTTGTGAATTCCTTCTGATTTGCTTTCTTCCTTGGAGAGGATCGCCTAACGGTATACCAAATCGTCATCATTCCGGTACCAGATGGTCTAACTCACCCGCTTTCTTATTTGTAGAGACGACGATTACGTTGATTACCACATTCACAACAATGACGATTACGATGATCACCCCATCTACAACAATGACAATGGTGACGACAACGAGATTCAAAAGGAAGCCTGCAAGATCCCATTCTTTTCAACTTGTGTATTTTTGGATGTTGGTGTGACGGATGAGATTGACGACTGGTGACGAGTACGAATACGAATGATGACGGAGGACGACTATGACGATGGTGGTGGCAATGTACAGCACATAGCAAGATAGCTAGATGAAATAAAGCATTGTTTATTTATTACACGCTTGTTGGAGGTTGCTAGCTTGTGGATTACATACTATTGCTTCGAAGATGGAATAATAAAGGTGGTCCGATTATCGGTCATGCAAGAAGTACATGGCTTTTGTGATACAATAAGGAGGAGTGGGAAGTGGGATGAGCTTGAGAAGAGAAAAAGTGAAGAGATCTCTCCATTGAGTTTCAGGATGAGTGACTCATTCAATATGTATATGTATCTTTTTACATATACAAATTGGTTTATGCAGCTCGACTTTCTTCTACATGCAAATGTGATGCATACCTTGACACACCTTCATTATTGGATGCTGTTTACTTACGTACCTTCACAAAAGGCAATCATCATCATCATCATCATCATCATCCATTTGTGTAGCAACCTGTCAAGGACGTGTCTGTGTAACCACCACGTGCGGATTCACTCAACTCTTCATCTTTCCGTTAATGCAGCCGACACCATCCACTAGGAAAAAGCAACTCCATCACGCTTACAGCATAGGTAAAACATAAAGACGCCTGTATCTCCAAACTTTACAATCAAACGTGGGGTTTTTATTAGAGCAATGTGCTCGGCTTGGCCAACAGCACCTTGTGTGAAAGTTTCACGTTCAATGTCGCAAACAGCCCAAAAAATATTCAAGAGGTCGACCCCTGGATCCAGTTTGGCTGGTGGCGACATTGCGAAATCTGGGATTGGCCACGATGAACTTGAAACTTGCACCCAAGGTGCAGTTGGCCAAGCCGAGCCCATTGCTCTAATAAAAACCCCACGTCTCATTGTAAAGTTCGGAGATACAGGCACCTTTATGTTTGTAAGCGTGATGCCATATGAGAAGTGGTCTTTGTCCATTGCCAAGTAGCTAGACCCTGGAGAGCCAAAGATGCAGAAGGACCTCTTTGGGTAACTCAGCTAAAAAGTCAGGACTTCAGGGACGATGCATGATAGGTACGCAACCCTCACTTTGATGTCATACATTGGCAGCTAATAGCCACTTTTGTGCATTCCCAACTTTTGTGCATTCTATTGTAGGTGGACGATTCTCCTGCTCCAGACATTCATTTCCATGATTAAAGTAGGTTGATCCGAGCTGATTTGGTTGAGTTACGCTCACACAAGATTACATCGGTTGAGCTACATCGAGCGTGCTTGATGTCCAGAGTGATGTAATCTCTCTTTGACCGCAGCTCAGTCAAATCAGCTCGGATCAACCTACTTTAATCATGGAAATGAATGTCTAGAGCAGGGGCACCGTTCCCATTCAGTGGATCTCGCAACAATGATGACTGGATAAAAGTGACCGTTAGCTAGCAATACATGCCTGTTCCTAGATGATCCATAAAGTAATTATACATTGACCCTTTCATTCATGCAAACGTAGCTGTGTTACACAACACGACCCTCTGCATCTTTTGCTCTGCCAGGGTCCACCTACTTGATAATGAACAAAGACCACTCTTCATATAGCACCACGCTTACAAACATAAAGGTGCCTGTATCTCCAAACTTTACAATGA